GTGCCAAAACTTGGAAATAAAAATTCTAGGACTAAGAAACCAAGAAAAGGGGGAACCAAGGAGGCTCCCTCAGACATTCCCCCAGATAGTCCACTGGGGATAATACTGGTGACCTGGGGCGGGGGGTATCCTTTAGACCAGGAACAGAGAAAAACAAAAAACAAAAACAAAAAAAAAGTATTGCTGGTTTTTTTTGGCCTAAAGGTCCAGTTCACAAACCCTTGGTCTTTTGGCCCAAATTTGGCTCAGATGAAGACCGGGTGTGTCAAGCTTTAATTCTCCGTGTATATGACAAAATCTCAACCTCACAAGAAGAGAAAGACTATACTCCCTGTTGGATAAAATAATTAAATAAATCCCAATGTTTCCTCTTTTAAGTCAGTAAGAAAAAGGCAACATGGGGCGGCACCGTGGCTCACTTGGCTAATCCTCCGCCTGCGGCGCCGGCACCCCGGCTTCTAGTCCCGGTTGGCGTACTGGGTACTAATCCCTGTTGCTCCTCTTCCAGTCCAGCTCTCTGCTGCGGCTTGGGCAGGCAGTGGAAGATGGCCCAGGTGCTTGAGTCCCTGCACCTGCATGGGAGACCGGGATGAAGCACCTGGCTCCTGCCTTCGGATCAGCACAGCGCCGACCGTGGTGGTCATTAGGAGAGTGAACCAACAGAAGGGAGACCTTTCTCTCTCTCTCTCTCTCTCACTGTCTATAAATCTCTCTCTCTCTCTGTCTCTAACTCTGCCTGTCACAAAAAAAAAAAAAAAGGCAACGTAATAAATAAGTGAAATGGATAAGGGATTCAGAAAGAAGTACAAATATCTAATAAACATTATTGAACAATGTTCAACTTCACAAGATACTTTCAGGGGAGTGGGTAGTGGGGGCACTTTGACATATGTCAAAAGTCTTAAAAATCTAGATACCTGTCCCTTGAAAAATGATATTATAGACATGAAAAAAAGTTTTTGTTCTATTAATTTTTAAAAAAGTAATTTATAAAACAGTGTTCCATTTTTCTGGAAATACTTATGCATGGTTAAAGGAAAAAGAACAGGCCGGCGCCGTGGCTTAATAGGCTAATCCTCTACCTAGCGGCGCCGGCACACCGGGTTCTAGTCCCGGTCAGGGCGCCAGATTCTTTCCCGGTTGCCCCTCTTCCAGGCCAGCTCTCTGCTGTGGCCAGGGAGTGCAGTGGAGGATGGCCCAAGTGCTTGGGCCCTGCACCCCATGGGAGACCAGGAGGAAGCACCTGGCTCCTGCCTTCAGATCAGCGCGGTACACCGGCTGCAGCGCGCCAGCCGTGGCAGCCATCAGAGGGTGAACCAACGGCAAAAGGAAGACCTTTCTCTCTGTCTCTCTCTCTCACTATCCACTCGGCCTGTCAAAAAAAAAAAAAAAAAGGAAAAAGAACAGAGAATCCTACACAAAGAGTATTTATCATCTCCAGGTAGGGAGATTATAGCAATTTTGCTATTTTTTGTATATATCTTCCAAATTATCAATATTGAAAATATATTATTAGATTAAGGATGCAAAATATATCACATAGAAAAATAATTTATGAATTCAGTGCATAAAATTCACAAAATATAAACTATGATGAGTACAGTTTTATATCTAAGAAGCTAACACAGATGAAAAGACATGAAAAGAATGGCTAATGCAATAGGAGAAAATAACAGTAACCATCATGGTAAATATTTATCCAAAAGACTCCTGAGCTACTTTTCCAATGGAAATCTGAGATCACAGCAATGTTGAATGAGTTTTCTGCACTCATCCAGATGACTTTAAGCTCCCCTCTTTTCTCCATCTGACCATGGTTTTTCATGTTTTAGTGGTAGCTTCAGACTTTTCCCATTTAAGTTTTCTTTTTTCAGTCTTGTGATTTTCAGAATTCTTGTAACAGTTTAAATAACAAGATAAGTTTACACAAAAATTTTTTTGGTAGCTAATGATATGTTTCTCTCCTATGAATCTCTAGAATCTACTATTTGTTGGCACCTCTCTTATGAAAGACTTTCACAATCTGCCTCTTAAAGCTACTTCTGCATTTATCTTTCCAACCTCAGTGTGTGAGTCCCCTAAGGGGGGAACTGTACCACAAAAATCATTTAACTATATGCTGCACTCCATTAATAAACCATCTTGTTACATTAGATAAAGAATAACATTATGAATATTTCAAATCAGGTATCTCAGTTTCTTTGTAATGCCTACAGTACAAAGTGATGTGTATTGTGGATTTGTGGATTCCTGCTTACTGAAAGACCCTTAAGAAATATGCTGTAGGGGGCCAGAATTGTGGTGTAGCAGGAAAAGCTGCTGCCTGTGATGCCAGCAGCCCATATTGGCTCCACTTCCAATCCAGCTCCTTGCTAATGCACCTGGGAAAGCAGCAGAGGATGGCCCAAGCGCTTGGGCTCCTGTACCCATGTGGGAGTGGAAGAAGCCTGGAAGAAGCTCCTGGCTGCTGGCTTCAGACTGGCCCATCTCCAACCATTGAGGACATTTGGGGAGTGAACCAGCAGATTTAAGATGTCAAGATCTCAAGATCTCTCTCTCTCTGCAACTCTTTCAAATAAATAAAAAAAAAAAACAACTTTTTTTTTCCCAAGAGAAATACATTGTAGAAGGCATGACATCCAATGTATTACAGACAGATACATATAAGAAAAAGAATGGACAAAGTAGTCCTAAAGTTTAGTTTCACACATACATAAAAAAACTGAGAATCTACACATGAAAAAGGTTCAGTAATTGCATTTCGAATTCAAAGGTAAGTGCCAGGATCTGAATCTGCGTCCCTCACAATTCATATGCTGAAATTAAATCCCCTGTGTAACAGTATTAAGACTTGTGGTCTTTTGAGAGGTGACTGAATCATGAGGGCTCAGCCTTTACAAAAGAGGTCTAAGAGAGTTTGTTTGCTACTTCTGTCACATAGGGACACACAGAAGGTATCACCTATGAGGGACAGATGCTGAATTTGCTGGTGCCATAATCTTGGATTTACAAGCCTCCAGAAATATGAGAAATGAATTACTATTGTTCAGAAATTACACAATCAAAGGTATTCTGTTATAGCAGCCTGAACAGACTAAGACAAAAGTTAAAGAAAATTAGCAGTAAAGAAAATGTTTTGCAAAAGTAGGATTCCAACAAACTTAAGAAAAATTGCAGGAAGAATTAGAAAAGTGATAGAAATTCTTTTATTGGAGAAATTAAAAAAAAGTCTGCAAAGATTTAGCCACAGAAATGTTTGGAGGCAAGAGAAGGCATGGGATGACTTATTAATGACCATACATTTGTAGGAAGAAGCAGGTATAAACCTCTATATGGGAAAATCTCCATAAATCCAACCTTGAAAAATGTAATAGCTGCCCCCTTCAGATTCTAAATAAACATAGAAAACAAACAACCAGAGTCTACTCTGCTTACAGGTGCCTTTCATGCACGTCATCGTTGAAGAACACAACTCAATGACCCGAACAGCAGAAGTTCCTGGTTCCTCTGCTGGCACTGTCAAAATGGAAATCTAAAAACAGAAACAAAATATCAGACATAGCTGTTAGATCTGCTTTTCATTCTTTATCACCAGAATGCTAACTTCCAAATTGAGTATCTTTTTTCAAACATCCCTTGGTGTGTGAAAAAAAATCTGGCTTCTAAGAATTTAATTTTGAAAGAATTTTGAAACACATAACATGCACATGTGTCCTGATATCCAATTTCTGCATTATTTATATGTCATGTTCATATAATTATCATAAATATTTCAAGCATTTTAACATTTATTAAATCATTTACTTAATATTTCAAAGGATGAAATTATGACTTGTTAGCTCTGGAATATATGGATTTCATTGTATGAAGTCATATCATATTAAATCAGTCTGATTATTCATAATGACTAAAAATAGTTATAGAGCCCTAAAAATTAAAGATGTTACTAATCACAAAGATATTGAAACAAGAGGTCAAAGTAAATATAAAACTAAAATATCCTTAAATGAATGATTTCAAATTAATTCAAGGACTCAATGAATAAAACCAGAAATTCATAATCATATAACAAAATTATTACTGAATACTGTTAGTTGATATGCAGTATTATATCCTAGTCACCACTGACAAACTATATGGCCTTATATTTAAAAGACTTTAAATGACCCTCCGGTTAATACTTGTCTGTAGTCTAAATTTCTAGCATTAATCCTCAGTCTGTTCTCCATTCTGAAGAAATTATATCCTCTCATATAGGGAAAGGCCCATTTGTACTTTTCCTTGTAAGTGTTATGCTTTAATTCTGGGAAAGTTAAACTGATAACCCACAGAAGAAATGCCTATAATATGTTCTAAAAATAGAAATTATTTTGATAATCACTACCACTCTATTTGTTGGGGTTCAAGATGCCTGAAAAACTAAGTTCACCTTTCTCTAAACCCTCTTTGCCATGTTCATGGTGAAAAATGCTGCACTTCAGCATTAAACAGAAAAGCACTACTAAGACATTGAATGCCACGGACTGAAAACATGACCATTATTTTACACCAACATTTAAGAGCTTTTGCGATTCTTACAGCTATCATTTTTTAGCTATCAGTAACCTGTCACCAGATTTCCTGCTTTACTTGAAATCTGTTTCAGACATCACTGAGATTATAAATGTCATTAAAAGAAAATTAGCTCAGGGCCAGTGCTGTGGCACAGCCGGCAGTGCTGGCATCCCACATGGAGACTGGTTCTTGTATCCACTGCCTCATTTCTGATCCAGCTCCCTGCTAATGCACCTGGGAAAGCGGCAGAGGATTGCCCAATGTGGGAGACCCAGAAGAAGCTCCTGCACCAACATGGCAGACCCAGTCTTAAGAAGCTCCTGGCTTCCGATTGGCTTGGCTCCAGCTGTTGTGGCCATTTGGGGAGTGAAACAGGGAATGGAAGATCTTTCTCTCTGTCTCCACTCTGTCTGTAACTCTGTCTTTCAAATAAATAAAATAAATCTTTAAGAAAGAAAACTGTCTCATACCTCTAATACCAACTCCATAATATTTACCTGAACTTATTCTTTTCTTGTCTAAGTCTCATCATCCTATCTTTTTTTTTATGTGAGAGTTTTTATTTAAAATTTTTCTTTATATAAATGTTACAAATTTTATGTATCTCATACATACAGTTTTAAGTACATAATGACACTTCCCACACCATCCTCCCACCCTCCCTCACTTCCACTCTTTCTCCTGCTTTGTTTCTTATTTTTCTTTTAATTTTTGTGATGATATACTGTTTTTTTTCTTTGAGAACAAGTTTTATCATTAATCAAAGAAGCACCTAAGGAAACAAGCAATGGAGTTGGACACTTAGGCTTATTTAAAACTATGTTTTAAAAATTAAAAGAGTCTAAGAGTGACAGGGAGAGTGTGAGAAGAAAAAACTCCCCATAGGAAACAAAGGCAGGCTGGATGTACACTTTAGATGGATCACTCTGATAACTGGGTGGAGTTTGAAGGAGGTAAGAGGAGTAGGGCAACCAGTTAGAAGGCAGACAGGATGAGTCCCATAAATGGAATAGAAAGAATAAGGACTGAGAGGAAAAGCAGAATGATGCAACTTTGAGGAAATGCATTGGCAGGACCTGAAGACTCAGGAGATGTCAGAGAAGGAATGAAGAAGTTGTTGTTTAAAAGGAAGTCAGCCCTGTTCATTGAGGTTGGGAGTGCTGGATAAGATGTTTTGTGAGGGTAGATGGTGAGTTCAGTTCTGAGTATGTTCCATCTGATAGATGTTCAGCAGGAAGTTTGGCACCTGGGTCAGATACGTCTAGGAGATTTATGTCAAGAACTATGCAAAACTTGAAACTACTTGAAAACAGAGTCATTTAGTTAATGTATACAGAGTGAGACATACTGTGGACTGAAGTGAGAAATCTGGGGACTCCCAAAACTTCAGGTCAAGGCAGAGGAAGAAGAACTCACAAAACAAGCAAAGAACGAACAACCAGAATTATGAAGGGAATCAGGAAAACACAGTGTCATGGATGCCAAAAGAGTACAGTTTCAAAAGAAAGCGAATAAAATAATCATCAGATGTACCACAAAATCCCCAGTAGACCAGGACCAGAAAAAGTCCATTGAGTCTGACTACTATGAACTTAATAATGAACTTTAGCAAGAGTAACTGTATGAATATGAGGGTAGCAGTCAGGTTGATGTGGTTTAGAAATGAATAGCAGGGAAGGAGTTGGAGGCAACAAGTACAGGTACTGTCTTCAAAATGCTGAAAGGAGGAAAGGAATCACATACTAAGTAGAGATGGGAACATTTTTCTGCTTATTTTTGCATAGAAAATGCTAGTATACATACACAGGTGGAAAGGAACATTACAGTTGTGGCAAGATGCTAAAGATTCCGGAGAGCAAACAGGTAAT